GAGGAAAAGGCTGTTGCGGAGGCTGAAATCCGGCACGCATGTACCGTTCCATCTCCTCCAACCGGGCTTTTGTGGCCTCATCTGCTTTCCGCTGCTCCTCCCATCGCCGTTCATGCTCCTCCAGTTCACGCTGCATTGTAGCAATACGAGGATCTTCTCCCCGCCTTGACCGAGAAGAGGAAGCGCCGGTGCTTCGATCATACAAAATCCGTTGCCCCTCGGCCCCCAAGCACGGAACCCGGCCCTTGTAAACCCCGGCCGCCTCAATGGCCGCCTCATCATCCGCATCGGAATCGAGGTCGTCTTCCTGGGTCAAGCCTCGTGCCGCACGCTGCCTTTCAACGGATTCGTTGTACTTCGTCTGCATTTTCAAAAAATATTTTTGAAATGCTACATACTTAGATTTGATATGTTACTAAATAACAAAATATGATGCTACATACTTCGAAGTCAGCGAGGCGGGGTGGCAGATCGGCTTCAGATTCCTCGCCGTGCTTCGTCCAGCAATGCTTGACGAGCCGGAGAACACCAACCCTCTTCTTCTCAGGACCAGCCTAAATGGTTTGAAAAAGACTTAAGTAAATTTTGTATAATGAAGGATTGTGATGGTGTAAGGTTTTTTGAATAGCACTTACAAGAGTTTCTTTATGGGCATTCTGAGATTTGCGGCCCCCGTGCCACTGCATCTCCAAGGCCTTCTCGGACATCCGGTTTTTCTTACCGGATTCACTTCTGGCCAAGAATTTCGGATCAGAAGACCAGTGGCGACAAAGGTTGGACCACACTTCATCCGAAACCCATTTAGGCTTTTTCGAACTTTTTCGCGCACGTTTAAAAGTGGCGCGAAGCCAAGTCGAAATCCTAGCATTGTAGGCTTTAAGAATATCGGCACCGTTTGCGTGAGTCCAACGATAGCGAGCCTTTATTAAAACAAATTGGATTAATTAATCAGTAGGTATATATTAGGCCAATACAATCAGAGAGGGAACATTCATTTATTTTTACCTTGAACAGGTTCCACCATAGTTCGCGAACCTTGGGGTCAACATCCGAGTACGTGGCCCAAGTGCCAAGAAAGTGTCCTCCGATTATGCTTTTGATGCCTTTGAACACTTGTTCGTCACTTAAAAAAATTAATAGTATTTATTTATATAAGATTTGGTTAGATTATTTAACATTATATAAAATTATTGAAAATAAGGTTTCTTCATAACTACTTACAAAAGAACTTCTGCAGGGGTCACCCAAACAGCTCCTTCGTTGTTGCGCTCCGCTTCGGACATGGGCGCATAGTTAGGGCGGGGAGCCGAGGTCGATTGTTCGTTGCTCATCTAAAATATATTAATTTATTTTGTTTTTTGTTAGAACGCTTATAATAGAAGATCAAATTTTTATGTAAGTATTGTCAATTGTCAATGTATATAACATATTTAACTGGGTATAAGTGTAATATAAGGTTCCAATAATTGCTAATAAACAAATCCTATAATTATTAATGAGTTGACACAGTCGACCGAAGAATCAACCGGTTGGAGCTCATCAATGAGTTGACCCAGTCGATTCATTGATAAACTCCATCCTGACGATTCTTCAGGCTACGCCTTGAACCATGGATGGGCTACATCACATGTAGCGACATAATGTCAGTACATGCGTTTGGGAGAGTCCATCGATGACTCAAGCCGTAGCCAGAAGAATCGACAGATTGGAGCTTATCTAAGAATTGACTAAGTCAACTCATTGACAAGCTCCAACTGATCGATTCTTCGATCGACTGGGTCAACTCATTGATAAATTATAGGATGAGTTTATTAGAAATTATTGAACCACTCATATTAAACTTATACACAGTTTATTAAATTTATACAGGGAAAAATAATACAAATACCCCAAACTTTGAAGGGATGTGACAAGAGCACCACAAACTTACATATGTAATTTAAATATCCCAAACTTTATATAAAGTTTGGAGTGTTTAAATTATTTATGCAAGTTTGGGGTGCTTATCTCACACCCTTTCAAAGTTTGGGGTATATTTATTATTTTTCACTATAAAAATTTATACAAGTATTATCAATTGAAAATGTGGATAGCATATTAAACTATCTATTAGTTTAATATGAGGGATCCATATTTTTTCATAATAAGTTCTTCTATAATTTGGTAATAAATTGCCCTTGGAGGTAACATGTTAAACTTTTTGCAAAGTTTACATGAGAGGAGATCATTTTTTTATGTTTTAGATATATCAGTTTATATGAGAGACCATCTTTTTATCAGTTTATACACATTTACAATTGTAAGTAACATGTTAAACTTTTTGCAAAGTTTACATGAGAGGCCATCTTTTTTTTTTGTTTTAGATACATGAGTTTTATACAATTTTTATAAACAGTTTTACAAAATTATAAAAACAGTATACTTTTTTTTCAAAAACAGTTTATACAAAAAGTTATTTATGTACTTTTTAAATAAAAAACAGTTTTTATAAAAACTGTTTTGTAGAAAAACAGTATACTTTGAGTTTATACCTTTTTAATTAAATTACAAAAACAGATTATATAAAACAGTTTTTTGTCAAAACAGTTTTTAAGTAAACCAAATTTTCATTTAAAACAGTTTTTATAAAAACAGTTTTTACAAAATCTGTTTTTATATAAAACAGTTTTTACAAAATCTGTTTTTATATAAAACAGTTTTTATAAAAACAGTTTTTATAAAAACTGTTTTCTATAAACTGTTTTATTTATTAAACAGTTTTTATAAAAACTGTTTATTTAACACTTTTTTCTATTGAACAGTTTTTAACAAATATGTTAATTAATCAGTTTTTACACAAAAAACTGTTTTTTACAAAAATCTGTATAATAATTAGTTTTTAATATCCAGTTTTTGTCAAAACAGTTTTTTTTAAACTGCTTATATCCAGATTTAAAAAAACTGGTTTGTTCTTTTTTAAATAATTATAAAATCAGTTTTTACAAATCTGTTTTTACAAAAACAGTTTATTTAAAACAGTTTATAAAACTGTAAACCAAAATCTGTTTTTACAAAAACAGTTTCTATAAAACTGTTTTTATAAAACTGCTTTTTAAAAAAAGCACTTTACCATTTTTGCTATGAAAACTGTTTTATAAAAATCAGTTTTTATACTTTTTATGCAAATCAATTTCGAAAAAATATGGTTTATCCAGTTTATTAAAAACAGTTTTTTATTAATGAACTGTTTCATACTTATAAAAAGTGTTTTCAATTAAAATCAGTTTTTTTTAATGAACTGTTTCAATAATTACAAAAACAGTGTTTTCAATTATTACTTTTTGTACTTATAAAAAGTGCTTATAAAAAAACACTATACTTTTTTATGTTTATTTTAAAATTTGTAAAATAATAATTAAACATGTTAAGCTTGTGAAAGCTTAACATGAGGGGGCAATTTTTTTAAATATTTCGAGTTAAAACATGAAAAGCATAAACATTGTATAACTATAGAGAGGCATGCATATCAAACACTAGACATATATATTTAACATTAAACTAATTCTATAAACATGCATTAGTTCGAAAAACAGTGTATTAAGTAGTTTAATCATGCATAAGAATATATTAAACATATAATAATCTAAATCATCTAAACATAATTATCATGCATACAAAACATATGAATCATACATATTAAACATATAAAACGAAATTATCATGCAAAACTACAAATCATGCATATAATAAATCATACATACAACTTTTGAACATCTCAAAATGATATGAAACTAACAATCATGTACCTTATCATGCATTTGAGTATAGTATCATGCGTTTGAGTATAGTATCATGCGTTTTTGGAATTTTAATTAAATATTAGAAAAAAAGATGAAAAGAACACATAACCTTGATTGAGAAAAGAAGGGGGGGCGACGGAAGGTGGCGGACGACGGCGGCCGGCTGATTGTGGACGACGGCGGACGGCTAGGCGGCGGCTTAATCCGAACTGGAAGAGAAGGAAGAGAGAAGGAAGAGGTAGTATTGGGTTTGGGAAATATGGGGTGCGTAGGTTTTTAAAAAATTCGCTAAGGGGCTATTTTATATAATGTATTAGTCACGGTCATAGTCACGGTTTTGACCGTGACTAAACCCTTCGTAAATACCGCTGCAGGCCTGACGGTCAGAGCCGCAGCTGACCGGAATAGTCACGGTCAGGACCGTGACTATGGCCGTGACTATTTTCAAAATTTGAAAATAGTCACGGCCATAGTCACGGACCTGACCGTGACTATTCCGGTCAGCTGCGGCTCTGACCGTCAGGCCTGCAGCGGCCTGACTTCGGCAGTTACGAAGGGTTTAGTCACGGCCCTGACCGTGACTATAACCGTGACTTTAATTTTCTTTATAATTTTGGATTTCCGAAGTATTTAAATTATTGGATTAATTTTCGAATTTATAATATGGAATATTGTGGAAATTTGTAGTGTGGAATGCGAAGTATTAAATAAACTGCTATCAATTTATCTGGTTTCAATCTGTATCTGAACCGTCTATCTATTCACCTTCTTTGTGATATTGAGTGTTTCTGAAAGGTGTGTTTCTGGCATGACTTAAACACGTCCGTCAATTGGATCACTTAATTGGATGTTATAGTTGACCGTCTCAATTAATTTTTGAATTTTCGAATTTTTTGAATTAAAAATAAATATTTTTTGTTTTGAATTTTTAAAGTTTTGAAAACTTGTTGTTGTTGAATTAATATGGAGTAATTTTTAGTTCATAAATAATAATGAAGAAGAAAAAAAATCAAATATTGTTGGAATAATATAATGATGAAGAAAAGAGCACAAATATTAGATGTCAATAAAATTGAAATTACAACAGCACAATTACTCGCTGTCAGAATCGTTATTTTCTACATATATAGTGTCTTCTTCTGTATCTGAACCGTCTATCCATTCACCTTCTTCCTGATATTGAGCATTTTGTTGTGCTACATACATTTCCTCAATTTCGCGCTCAGATGGAATGGTTAGGTCCGGAAGGTGCGTTTCTGGCATGACTTCAACACGTCCGCCATTTGGATCACTTAATTGGACGTTATAGTTGACCGTCTCAACAATAGGCGGAGGTTGGAAAAATTGTTGCTGAAAAGCATCTAGATCAACGTCCTTGTGTTGAGTTTGTGATTTTATTTTGTTCGGACGGACAGGACATGCACACACCCAAGGATTCTGTGTCCGCCTTGTTGAAGGATATTCTGCATAATAAATTTGCGCTGCTTGTTGGGCGAGTATGAAAGGCTCATTTTTCGGGTACACACGAGAGAGGTTGACGTCAATCATATTATACTTCGGATTTTTGCGCACGCCACGTGTGGGGTCGACCCATGTGCAACGGAACAGAACGCATGTCAATTTTTTCGCACCAGAAGGCATCTCAAGTTCCAGAATCTCCTGCAGGACACCAAAAAAATTGGTTTCCGAGTTATCATAACCGATGGTCGGGACACATAACCCGCTGTTCGTTGTTGGTCGGCCCTCTCCGTAATCGGCTGTGTGATATGTGTAACCGTTTATCACATATTGCCGCCACACTTTGGCACTGGCACCTGGGCCCCACGCTAATGATACTAACAAAGGGTCGACAATCCCACGACTATTGATCTGTAAATATAAACATAATAATAACATTAGGTAAACATTAGGTAATATATATAATTAATGTGTGTATATATATACCTGATACTTGTACCAATTTACAAAATCAGAGTCCACCAACGCATCAATTTCATTCTCAGGAAAGGCTGATAAAGAAGCTCGGAATTCACTGTGAAGTCAAAAAAAAAAAACTATAAATTAACTACAAATTTAATTTATAAGTATTACAATTATAACTACAAATTTAACTTACTGATAAAACGGTGAGATTTCTGGACAATTCATGAGGATATAAGTATGCGCAATTTGCAATTCCCCACCCAGGATGTATCGTTGTGTCGCAGCACCTTTACCTCTGCCTAGGTAATTGAAGATGGAAACTACATTTTCATATAAATCCTCGCCAATGTCATCGTTCCGGGCAGGTCTTTTCCTTCTGGTGATGACGTCACGCTCGAAGTAAAAAGACGAGAACGTTGAGATTTCTTGTTGAAGATACGCTTGACAAATTGAAGCCTCAACGTGTGCCTTGTTGGTCACTTTCTTTTTCAGCTCTCCTAGAAATCTGCAATAATGCAATAATACACATGTTAACAGTTATTGTGAAATAAATATTTTTTTTAAATGAAATTGTGACTAACCTTTCAAATCTGTACATCCACCGATAGAAGACGGGCCCAGCAGTCAAAGCCTCATACGGAAGATGTATTATGAGATGTTCCATTGTATCGAAAAACGATGGTGGCATTATTTTTTCCATATTACACATCAGAATGGGAACAGACTCTTGTAGTCTCCGGAGGGATGCCGCATCCAAAACGCTGGAACATATCGATTGAAACAACAAACTGATTTCAGTAATGCAGGACCATACGTGTTCAGGGAGCATCTCTTTTAGTGCAATTGGTAGAAGTCTTTGCATTATTACATGAGCATCGTGAGTTTTCATGCTCGCCGTCGTGGTAAGTTTGTTCATGTCTACGCATCTAGACAAGTTGGAGCAGTAGCCATCTGGAAACTTCTGAGACGCAAGCCATTTTAATATTGTTGCCTTTTGTGGTTCTGTGACCTGGTAGACTGCTTTTGGAACTTCCTTGCCCTGATATTCTAGATCAACAGAAAGTTCGGGTCTATCACACCAAATAGTCATATCTTTCCTAGCTGCAAGACCGTCTTTAGTTTTGCCTTTCAAATCCATCACCGTGTTAAATATATTGTCAAAGACGTTCTTCTCAGTGTGCATGACATCTAAATTGTGACGGATGAGAAGGTCTTTCCAATAAGGCAACTCCCAGAATATGCTCCTCTTTGTCCACTTATGGGTATCACAATACCCATATGGCTCTTGGTTTGGCTCTTCCATAGCCGTAGGAAAACGTCGAACCCGGTTATAAATTTCTTCACCGGTCAATCTCGGGGGTGGGCTCTCTCGTACCGCTCTGCCTCTAATGAAAGACTTCTTGTCCTTTCGATATCGGTGCCTTTCCGGGAGAAACTTGCGGTGACAATCAAAGTAACATCCTTTTTTGCTGTAACTGAGCCAGTTGGCACCTGATTTCTCCATGCATATCGGACATCCCATCAGACCGTGTGTGCTCCATCCCGAAAGCATGCCATAGGCAGGGAAGTCGCTAATGGTCCAAATGATGGCAGCTTTCATGATAAACATTTTATCTGATGAAACATCATAAGTTGGTGTCCCAACGGCCCACAATTCTTTCATCTCCTCAATAAGGGGTTGAAGATAAATGTCTATCTTTCGCCCAGGATCCTTGGAACCCGGACAAATTAAAGACAAAAAGATGAAATGACTTTTCATGCACATGTCGGGAGGGAGATTGTAAGGTGTTAACATGACCGGCCAACATGAATAGTTCTTGCCAAACCTGCCAAAAGGAGCAAATCCATCTGAGCACAATCCCAGCCGCACATTTCGTGGCTCCATAGAAAACTGAGGATGACAGCGGTCAAAGTGTCTCCAGGCTTCACAGTCCGAAGGGTGAGCCATCATACCCTCGTTGGTTTCGTGCTCAACATGCCATGTCATGTGTTTCGCAGTAGCAGTCGAAGCATACATCCTTTGCAGTCGAGGAGCAATTGGGAGGTAATACAGTTTAGACAGTGCAGACCTATGTCGTGGTTTCTTTTTACCTTGACGAACAGGTTTGTATCTGTCTCCACCACAGAACTTGCAGAACTCAAGTGCCTCATCCTCCTTCCAGAACAACATACATCCTTCCGGGCACGCATCAATGTCAACACAAGGTAGCCCCAACTTAGACATTAACTGCTTCATGTGGTAATATGAATCCGGAAGGGTATGATCTCGCGGTAGCATCCCTCCTACTGACTGCAAGACTCTATTCATGCAAGTTTCAGGGAGACTGTATTCGGCTTTTATGTTCATGAACTCAGTAACAGCGGATAGCTGAGAGTATCCCTCACAATCAGCATACAGAGGTTGGTCGACAGCTTTTAGAACATCCTGAAATCTCTCAGCCAAACCTTCATCCACATAAGGTTGATAAAATGTCGGATTTTCATCCGCATCTGGTTGATACGAGGTTGAGGCTTCAGGGGGGTCGTTAGGTGGTTGTGGGGGGTTGAACTGAGACGGTACACCGTATGCGTCATATACCATTTGTTGGTCCCACCTCATTTCAGCACGGTCTCCCCACGCACTCATCTCTGGAGGGACGTAACGAGACGAACCTACCGTTTGTGGTATAACAGATGGATCCAAAGGTTCGCCGTGAGAAGTCCAATTATAATAATTGGGAACAAAACCGACCGCGTACAAATCATACCCAACTTCGTGTGGGTCTTTAAATTTGAGATTTTTACACTTTGAACATGGACATCTTATTTTATCACCACTCATATAAGCCGGATGTTCAAGTGCAAATTCAATAAATTCCCCGACTCCCTCGAGAAAATTTGATTGCATTCCGTACAATACCGCATCTTTATCATACATCCAACTTCTATTTTGTTTATACATTATGCCTGAATATTATAATAAAAAATTATATGAAATGCAATGCACACAATTTTAAGTAATTTATTTCACTAAATATAATCAACTAATTTTCACTAAATTAAATGAAATGCACACAATTCACAACAATAATGCACAAAATATACGTCCCCTAATGCAGAATAATGCAGATAATTTCACTAAATTAAACATACGTTTAATTAAATCTAACTAATTCATTTAGTTAAATTTAACTAAATTTAACTACTTCATTCCGTCCCCTTTTAATGCATCACTACGTTTAAACCTACGTTTAGCTACCTAATTTAACTTAATTAACACATCAATAGCTACGTTCAAACCTACGTTTAGCAAACGAATTTTAATTAAATTATTTTTGTAAACCTACGTTTAAACCTACACTAAATTATTACGTTAATGACATTTAATCTTATTAGTAATACACGTACAATTAACAATTCACTAAATTAAATAATATGACCAAATTCAACCCAATAATTTGAACATGTATATAAAGTCATTTGAATTAATAAGCAATACACAATTCACAATAACAATTCACAATTCACTTAATTAACACATTACTAACGTACGTTATTTGAACTAATTTCACTTAACATAAACATCATTACGTTTTAAACTACATTTAGCTAACTAATTTTAATTAAATTATTTTATAAACCTAAAAGTTTAACTAATTCTAATTTATGACATTACTACGCTTATAGTTAAAACATGTTGTTAATTAATTAACAACCTCACTAATTTAATAGTTTTAATAATTTAAATTGAACCAACTAATTCTAAATAAAAATTATAATTCAAATAACATACCTTATCTGCATAAACAGGGAAAATGATAGAAGATAGACTACATCCTTCGATCTTTCAAACGGATACTGTATATACTGGGAATGAATTGGTGTGGTTCTGTTCAATGAGCTGCTCCTGCATATATAAAAAATTTAGTCACGGTCTTAGTCACGGATTTGTCCGTCACTAAGCAAAACCGTGTCCAATACGCGTCCAACACGTGTTAATGACGGGTAAATGACGTGTTAATCAAAGTAGTCACGGAAATAGTCACGGATATGGCCGTGACTAAAGTTATCCGTACATAATATCGTTGCGCATTAAGTTAAGGGAGGTGAAAAATTAAATTTTAATCATAGTCACGGCTATAGTCACGGATGTGGCCGTGACTAAGTCGTCGGAATCAAATAAACTTCGCCGGAAACGGAAACGGGCCTATCGGAGGACTTAAGTCACGGGCCAAGACCGTGACTAATTGTAGTCACGGCTATAGTCACGGTCCAGACCGTGACTATTTTTTTTTTAAAAATTTCCGTGACTAGTCCGTGACTAGACCGTGACTAAACTAGTCACGGACCAAATCCGTGACTATAACGTTGTTTTTTTGTAGTGTCATTACAACAAAATATTTGAAGCCGGTTTGATATGGAGTAACTTTACTTTTCTATTAAACGCATAATTTTTTATTTTTCGTAATATTTGGTGTGATAATCAAAATAAGTAAAGTTGAAGTTACTTTTCTGCTTGAATTCACTCGAAGTTATTATACAAGATCATTTTAATTATTTTATATACATTTTACATTTATTTTATCAATAGAATAAATTTTAAATACTCCCTCTTTTTGTCCCTATTTCATCCAACAATCATATGAAATATAGAATAAAGTGGAGAAGATCAACTTTGATTCAATACCGAGAATGGTTTGAAATACAGAACAAGGTATCGAAAATACAAAGTATTGGCTCTCTCTCTCACTAGAATGTTATGTATGCGTGAATAATCTATGTAAAGCCTCTGCACATTCCCTCTAAGGCACTATTTATAGGCCTAGGGAATGTGTTGATGTGACCTAAGCATGATTAGGCTTCTTTATTTAGTTAGCCCAATAACACACTTTACAATATTTCCTAATAAGGCTAGTCTAATAATAGCTAACAAAGATCCCAATGGGTTGAAAATATCTAGATAAAATAGCTACAAAAATACAAAGATATTTATCAGGATTGGACACCATAAATATTCCTAACACCCTCCGTTCCTTAAAACTTTGTCAACTTTCCTTTTTTGGTTGTCTCACTGACTTTGCCACTTTCTCTTTTAATTAAGTAAAGAATTTATGGTTCCAGTCAATTTTTTCCTTTGCACACATCTCACTCACACAGTTTTTTTACTTTATTAATCCTCGTGCCGGTCAAACTTGATAAAGTTTCAAGGGACTGAGTAGTAATTTTTTCACAATTTAGAAGATTCAGTCAATTTCAAAGCCCATTTCGTAACACTGAAATTGGCTGAATCGGCTGAACTCGATGATGTTCTAGCTAAATTGGTTGAATCTACGGAGTACTAAATAATTGGAAAAATATTTTGTAAAGAAAATGAAGAAAAAATTATATGGAAAAATAGTTATTGTAACCTGTAACAGTAACTTCAGCTAATTCTGATAGAAAATTAATTTCAACCTTACTTATTATAACTAATTAACTATTATAAGATCCAGGGTGCTTAATCAAAACTTACGTGTTTAGTGAATTGTTTTTGGATAAATCGTCTTATTCTGATGAAATTGATTAAGATCTGGTTGAAGCGGTTGAATTTTCTGAGTTATGAAAAAGTTATATTTAAAATATATTTTATTAATAAAAAAGAAAAAAAATAGTTTTAAAATGATCCACTAAAGTAACTTCGGCCAATTCAACTACTAAATTAAATTTAACCCTACTTATTTTAAGGCTATTATTTTAAATTCAACTATTATTTTAAATTAATATAAAATTCAGCCAACAAAATCAGAAGTTACTAGTTAAGTGAAAAAGTTAGTGGATAACCCTAGTTTGTTGAGTTTTCAAACTTCATCATTTTCTTGGGTGCTCGTTTCTGTATGAACTAGGTAATAACCCTCCATATATTTTGCTGAGTTGATGTTGGGAGACTCAACCAGTTATCCAAAAAAAATGTTTGGAGAATAGTTATAAACGATGGAGACATTCAAGTGTGAGGTGATGCATGGTTGCCGAGATCGGGAACGGGGAGAATACAGCTAGCCCGACCACTTGGAATCCCTAATATGAATGTCACAGCATTAAGGGAGGAGGATGACAAACACTGGAATAAACCTAGAATTGAGAGGCTTTTCTCACAAGAGGGTAGCAGGCTGATCTTAAGTATTCCCATTACCACAAAGGACAAAGAGGATTATTTTTGGATGAAGTTGAGAGAAGAATCGGCTCCTTGATATATGTTTTCTCGCACTAAAATATGTTTGATAGTATATGATGTAAGAACGAGTATCGTCTCCACAGGTGAAAAAAGGGGAATTAATTATTATAAATTCGTAATTAAAATAAATAAATAAAATGCGATTATGCGAGATGGATTATTGAAATTAAATTGTTACGAAAATAAAGCTGTAATTTAGTGACTCATTCGAATTAATGATAGAAAGGGATCCGACATTGACTCCAGCGCAATCAGATTTCGGGACTGATTAGACTTGATCACATGAAAATTATTTAAGTGAGCAACGCTAATCAATACTAAATTCGATCTTACTGCTCGCGACGTAGAGTACAACGATCTAGAGAGACATGGATATCTCTAATGCGACAAGCTTCTAATCGTGCTAATCTCTTTGTGAATAGTAATTAAGATGTGAGTGAAAGTAGCCTAGAACAATTTAGATCTCTCTTAAATTATTATAGTAGTGTGTGCAATTATAATCCTAGTTGACGTTTTAGGTTATAAAAGATAACAATTTAATTTTTCACAAACAAATTAAATAATGATCATGCGATTAATCCATGATGAACAAACCCTAGATCATGAGTTTCGCCCCATCATCAATCTCATATCCCTAATTAAATTTACTCATATTTCATAATTGTATTAGCATCAAAATTAAGAGAGAAATAACTCACAGAGAATCCTTGAATTTAGAAATTCCAATGATGAAAAATAATGAAAAACTCATACTAGGCTTGTCTCTAAACTCAATGTACACCAAAAGAGGGTTTACGGGTTGTTTAAATAAATAAAAAAGTGAAAAAGGAGGCGAAATTGGCCACGCATGATCGCACGAATGGCGTGCACACGATCGTGAGCGCAACCGAGAAATCCCGTGAAAACCCAGCGCACGACGTGCAGCTATCGTGCGTACGTTCGTGTACACCTATCTAAGAGTAGCTGTGTGCGCTCATGGCGTGTGCGCCAAGTGCGCACGATGTGTGCACACAGTGTGCACCTCCCTCCCGTCCACTATTTCTGGCTGACTATCATAGGCCAACTCGCTTGCACGTCGTGTGCCCTTTAGTGGTGTTTTCTTCCTTTTTCCGCTCCTTGAGTCCGAGTTTGTTCCCATGTTAGATACTTGAACTCTTTCTTCTTCAATTCATCTTCTTTGAGTATCATAGATCCTCCTTGCCTCTTAATGTCAATACAAATACACCATTCATATGGATCATCACCCTTTATTCGATCATTTCTTTCCTTCGTACGTACCATGTCAATACAAATACACCACTGGCCTTCTTTTCCTTTCACCATTCATTATCTTTCTTTCCATTTTCATAAGAGTTCCCTTTCTCCGTAACATTTTTGAACACTCACCATCTTTAAATTTTATGTTAGACGGGCAATTTCATTTTATGCTAACGCCCCACTTGAGACTATCCACCACTGGCTGTCGTGAGGATAATATGAGATCTGGACCATTAGTGTGCTTTACTAGTTTCTTATGGCTCTCCTTTTTCTCTTAGGCCAATCAAAGATATAAGATGCTTCACCTTCTCTATGATAATAATGTGTGCAATTCTACACCTAGACTCCACCTTGATTATCTAGTAAGAGATACCATTTATCAAAGAAGTCAAATTACTTCAAAGAACGAAACACATATGGAAAACTGTCAACTTGTATCTTGTACTATCACGAAAAAGTCAATTAGGTCTTCATACTTTGAAATATATCAATCAAATCAATTATATAAATAGGTTTATTAGTTCCTTTACAATATCATGCCTCCCACACATGTTCACAATCATTAATTATTGTAACTATTAGCCTAATAACTGTAGTAGTAAGAAGATGCTTGATAGGAAGGGTATGGATCAAAAGTGATTGTCCCGTATTGGGGTGTAGGGGTATCATTTCTTCTATACTCTTTCTTCTTTTCTTCAACCACGGGGGCCACAGTCTCTATACTAGCTTGACCAAGTTTTCTTCTCAGCTGAACGGCCAAAGCCACGGCATCAAACTCGCCGACCACCTCTATCCGCCCCTTCTCTCGGTCCACAGACGTGGAAACAACTCCTGGAGAGGAAAATATTTAGAAAACATGAGTTGATGAGTATTATATGATACACACAAGTTACTGCAGAACTGGATCAGTTAGCATGAGTATTAAACCGCCCATATATATAGATAGCTAATTAAGTACGTACCGGAGTGGTGAACGACAATCTTGTGTGCTCTGACTTTAGCCTTTTCATCCCTCATGCTGATGCTAAATACTACCTTTTGCTGCCAATTATAAAAATCCAAATAAGTTTAATTATAAGAGCAAGCTAAGGTTGGGTCAATTCAAAGGGAAATTCAGAATTTCAGAAATCCAGAGTACAAACATAATTTTAATTTGTAGTTTTGCTGCTTCAAACTTAGACCAAGAAGAGATAATATTTATACAAACCTTTCCCATTTGCGGATGGTTTTCAATTTGCAGGGCAATTGGTGAAGAGTAACTGAAAGGCTGGAACAGAGACAAGACGAAGGCTTAGCTTTGAATGAGTGAGTAGGAGCAGAAGCTACTAGCGAGTGATGAATCCAATCTGCGTTTGGGTTGAAATATATATACAGTTTGGTGAGGTATGGAATTGGGTCTTTCTGTTTCTGTGGACTTGCCAAGAAATTTAGTCAACCGAGTTTTGAAACGTGTTCATAGTACGGAGTATATCGACCAATCATTCTATCGAGTTGAGCCAAGTCCTTTTCTTGTTTGGTATTCAGCTCAACCCCTCGGAAAAAAAATCACCATAACCGACCAACATCAAAATTAATTACAGATTTACAACAAAATATTTTTTTGGGAAAATCGCATTTTTAGTCCCTGAAATAGTCACGAAATGGAAATGTCAGACCCGTGTTTCCAAATTTGTAAATGTCGTCCTTCAATTGTCCAAAACGCTATAAATACGGTCCTTTTAGGGGTGAAATATACAATGCGGGCGAGAATACATTTCACCACTTAAAAGATCACATTTACAACAATTTGGACAATTGAGGGGTGACATTTACAATCTCAAAAATATGGGTCTGACATTTCATTTTGGTGAATATTTCCGTGTCTAAAAGTGCGATTTTCCCTATTTTTTATCATCAAACCGAAATTATATTAAATCAATAAATCGTTCGCCAGATTGTCAGAAATACAATCTCGAGTATAATAATAATCAACTCTATGGTCTGAGATGGTAACATGTGATTCGCAAGAGCATGAAACACATGATTCGCAGACCTTCTACAAAAAGAGATTTCAAAATTACCTTTTGTTTCCGAAATCCTCCTAATATCATCAATGATTAAATGAATATAAGCCAGTACTCCTTCACTCTTCGTCTTTAAACTCTGAACCACACCAAGTGCATCCGTGTGAAATTCAACTTTCTGCCATCCTGCTTCGGTTTATCAAATAATGTTCTATCAAACACGTAACTTTTAATTTCTCGTGTTAAATTGTGTGATAATCAGAATAAGTAAGGTTGAACTTACTTTTCTTCTTGAATTGACTGAAGGTATTATACAAGATCATTTGAATTATTTTACATACATTTTAAATTTATTTTAGCAATAAAATACATTTTAACTATTTATTTCGGAACTTAGCAGATCCAGTCAATTTCAGAGGTCATTTCATAACACTTAAATTGGCTGAATCGGGTAAATTTGCTGAACTCGATGATGTTCTAGCTAAATTGGCTCAATCTACTAAATGATTGGAAAATATATATTTTAAATAAAAATGAAGAAAAATTATATGGATAAATAGTTAAAGTAATTTGTTAAAGTAACTTCAGCCAACTAGTCAGAAATGTAACTCCAACTTTACTTATTTGAATTATTATACAATCCAATGTGCGGAATCTAAATTAAAGCTACATGTTTAGTGGAAAAAACTGGTTGAATCGTCTTATCCTGATGAAGCGGCTGAATTTTTTGAGTTATGAAAAAGTTATATTTAAAATATATTTTAGTAATAAAAAAAGAAAAAAAAAAGTTAAAATGATCCACTAAAGTAATTTCTACCAATTCAGCTAGTAAATTAAATTTAACCTTAATTGTTGTTATTAATATAAAATTTAGCCCGCAAAATCAAAAGTTGTGTGTTAAGTAAAAAAGCTACTTGATAAGAGTAGTTTAAATTTGTCCAGTTTTCAAAGTTCTTCATTTGCTTGGATGCTTGTTTCTGAATGCACAAGTGGGTAATAACCCTCCATATATTTAGGGTAGTAGTTAGGAGATCACTCAACTAGTTATCCAAAAAAAATGTTCGGAGAATAGTCATAAACGATAGAGACATTCAAGTGTCGGGATCGGGAACAGGGAGAATACATCTCGCCCGACCACTTGGAATCCCTAATATATGAATGTCGCAACATCAAGGGAGGAGGATGACAAAGACTGAAAGAAACCTATAATTGAGGCGCCTTTCTCACAAGAGGGTAGCATGCGGATCTTAAGTATTCCCATTACCACGTACTGAGGACAAGGAAGATTAATTTTTGATGAAGTTGAGAGAAGAATCAGCTCTTTGATGTGTGTTTTTTCGCACTTAAAGTACGTGTGACAATATATAGTGTAAGACGAGTATCGTCTCCACAGAGATAGAAAAGGGGAATTAATTATTAAATAAATTTAGTGACTAAAATAAATAAATTCAATGCAATTCTGCGAGATGGATTATTGAAATTAAATTGTTACGAAATAAAGCTAAAATTAAGTGACTCATTCGAATTGATGATAGAAAGGGATCCGGCATTGATTCTAGAGCAATCAGATTTTGGGGTTGATCGGGCTTAATTACATGAAAGTTATTTACTTGAGCAACGCTAATTAATGAATACTAAATTCTTACTGCTCGTGGCGTAGAGTACAACGATTTAGATAGGCAGGCAAATCTCTAATACGACAAGCTTCTAACTATGCTAATCTATTAGCGAGTAGTAAGGTGCGAGGAAAGTATTCTAGAACAATTTAGATCTCTCTTAAATTATTATAATAGTGTGTGCAAGTATAATCTTATAGCGGACTTTCTAGATTATAAAACATAACAATTAAATTGTTCACACACAAATTATATAATGATCATGCAATTAATCAATGAAGAACGAACCCTAGCTAGATCATGAATAACGCTCTTTTATCAATCCCAAATCTCTAATTAAATTTACTCATAATTCATAATCTTATTAGCATCAAAATTAAGAAAGTAAGAGTGAATTGTCATTAATTGAATGAGAGAAAGGACTCACAAAGAATCCTTGAATTTAGAAGTTCCAATGTTGAAAAAACAATGAAAATCTCGTCCTAGACTTGTCTCTAAACTCAGTGCACACCAAAACAGGGTTTACAGGTTGTTTAAATAGCAAAAAGCAAAAAAGGAGGCGAAATTTGCCACGTGCAATCGCGCAGATGGCGGCCGCACGATCTTGAGCACAACCGAGAAAACCCCTGAAAACCCTACTGATGGCGTGCGGCCATCGTGCGCATGTTCATGTACATTTTTCTAAGAGCAGCGGTACGCACTCACGGCGTGCACGCAGTGCGCACGAATTGTGCACCAAAGTGTCGGCTCCCTCCCGTCCAATAATCCTTGCTGCATATCATAGCCTACCCGCATGCTGCGTTAGGGGCGGAGCTAGAGGGGGGCCTACCAAGGTAAAATTCCGTATAATATTTTTCCAAAAAAAAATCTTAGTACCAATCCAATCCGATCCAGTGTCCCGGCTCCGTCCCTACACACCATTCGTATGGATCATCACCCTTTAATTTATTCGATCATTTCTTCCCTTCATTCCATTATTCTTTATTTGACCTCTTCTTTTTCTTTCTTCATTCATTATCTTTCTTTCCATATTTGTATGATTTCCCTCCTCCCTAACATTTCTGAACACTCCCCTTTTTCTTTCATTTTATGCTAATGCCCCACTTGACACTATCCAGTGTATCCACCACTGGATGTCGTGAGGATAATAATGGACCATTGGTGTGCTTCACTTTGACTCTTTCATTTCTATGATAATAATGACTACAATTCTACAACAACACTTCACCTTGATTATCTAGTAATTAAGAGATACCAGTTATGAGAGAACTCAAATCACGTCAAAGAACGAAACATATATAAAAGATTCAATTACAAAGCTCTATGATTGGGCATATTTCAATTCCATGCAAATCCGTATTATAAATTATTTCGGTGTTCAAATTGTCTTTAATTCTTGACTTGTAGCAAATCCAGTCTCCGACTACTTGACAATTACATTGTACAGGGCTAGCCTCGATAAAAAATTGATAAAGATGACAAGAAAAGAATCGTAGATGAGAAGAACATGTATATAAATAGGTTTATTAGTTCCTTTACAAAGTGAATGAATTGAATTACATACCACGCCTCCCACACATTTTCATAATCATTAATTATTGTAACAATTAGCCTAATAACTATAGTAGTAAGAAGGCGCTTGATAGGAAACGTATGGATCAAAAGTGATTGTCCCGTATTGGGGTGTTGGGGCATCATTTCTTCTATATTCTTTCTTCTTTTCTTCAACCACGGGAGCCATGGTCTCTATATTAGCTTGACCAATTTTCCTTCTCAGCTCGACGGCCAGCCCCACGGCATCAAACTCGCCGACCACCTCTATCCGCCCCTTCTCTCGGTCCACGGTCGTTGAAACAACTCCTGTAATGGAAATTATTTGGAGGGCATGAGTATTATATGATACACATAATTAAGTTAGTCAAATTGAAATTGAATAATCTGATTAAGTACATACCAAAGTGGGCAACCACAATCTTGTGGGCTTTTACTTTAGCCTTTTCATCCCTCATGGTGATGCTAAATACTACCTTTTGCTGCCAATTATATAAACCCAATTATAAGATCAGGCTAAGGTTGGGGCATCACAAAAGCATTCATCAATTCGAAGGGAAATTCAAGATTTCAGAAACCAAAGAGTGCAAACATAGTTTTAATTTGTAGTTTTACTGCTTGGAACTTACAGCAAGAAGAGATTATAATTATACATACCTTCCCCATTTCTGGATGGTTTTCAATTTGGAGGGCAATTGGTGAAGAGAAACTGAATAGCTTAGCTTTGAAGATGAATGAGTGAGTAGAAGCAGTAGCTACTAGCGAGTGATGAATTCAATATGCGTTTGGGTTGATATATATATATACAGTTTGGTTAGGTATGGAATTGGGTCTTTCTGGTTCTGTGGACTTGCCAAGAAATTAAGTCATCCGAGTTTTGAAACGTGTCCATAGTACGGAGACTCAACCAATCATTCTATGGAGTTAAACCAGTTCCTGGTTCCTGCTTTTCTTATTTATAACTAGTCAACTCACCTTTAGAATAATTTATACGAGTACTACGTATAAGACCATTTGTAATGGTGGAAAAACCAAAATGTCAAAAATGGACTATGCCCATAACCGTGTTTAGACTCCTATTTCTATGCATTCGAGCTTTGTCAATAAAATACATTCAGCATATTTTTTTAATTATCAATTTAGTAAAACATTAATTAAATTATTATAAGTAATATTTTTCTTTTACTTTTTTCCCCGGATAATTGTGACATAAAAAATACACATTTCGATGTAAAAATAAATAAATTACATTATTATTTTTTTCCATTTTTCAGTTAACAAAAATTAAACTTAGTTCAACTAAAGTTTTATTATGGAATATTCAGTTACATGTAGAGGCTCCATGATTTAAAAATTTGTGTTTTGTGTTTTTTAGCCTCAAGAAACTCCAATTGTTAAAACTTCAGATTTTTTTTCATTTTATATATTACATATTGGTGTCATATGCAAGATAATAAAAATTCATGAATTTTGATATATTTTTTGAAAATTTGGAGAACAAATAAAAAAGTTATAACAGTTTAAAAAAAGGGATTATAATGATGCAAGGATGACATCATCCCCACATCCATGCAATGCACTCTCCGTCTTTCCTTTCCTTATTTCTTTTCTTTTTCTTTTTCTCACTCGTACCAACTCACCCTCTATTTCTAACACCCTTCATCCTCTTTCCCACTTTTAATACCCTATTTAGTCTACCACTACATGAAATTAGGAGTCGAAAAATTTCATCTTTAGCAGTTTGGACTCTGAATACTACACCACTCCAAATGGTCTAACGGTTATTGAGCATCAAGATTATGCATATTCAACATTGGAACTCTCCCTTAGAGTAGATAAAATTTCAAAACCTGATTTGAGCATCAAAACATTTTCATTGGGTATTGTGTTCTTTATTATTGAGCTTTGAGATTATGTGAGCGAGTTTCAATCTGTTCGCGTGAGTTTCGTAGGCATTGATAAGCCATTTTAAAATAAGCATAGTACCAGTACCGAATAGTATATATAATTTACAAAACGAGCATCGAAAAATTCAAAAACTCAATTAAAACCACTAATGTGCTCAAATATTCTTTTGTATATGCTCATTTCTTTTAGGTGTTGTATTCGTTTGAGTTTAGCACAAAGCCCACTTCTATAATATGCGCATAAAATATATTTATTATTAACAATTACTTAACTCTCATTATATATAACACGAAAAAATGGCATGTATATTACTAATAGAGTTTCTCAGACAAAAATATGACTAGATATGTTTTTTTGGACAAATCACTGGTAGATGATGAGTCATTGGGAACTCATAACGGAATATGTCACATTTTTGAATTTTTTTAAATACATCATATTTTTGTCTTTTGAATTTAATTTAGTAATTTTTATGGACAAAGGCCATATATCAATTTGAAATAAAATAAATTTTAGTTTCAAAATTGTTTTGCTTTGTCGTTCTTTAATTACAAAATTGATCATGTTTTTTATAATGTTTACTCATCCACATTTATTTTAAACACTATACTCATTTTAGTATAACACAAACTAATCATTGACAAATAATACTAAAATAGTTAACTCACAAATTTTATTAAACTAATAAATATTATACTAACATTAAAAATAGAAAAAAACATTGATATCTAAAATATTTTATAATGAAAAATTTATTGAACTACTTAACTTATAAAGGAAGGTTGATTAGAAAAAAATTTAAAAAAAAAGCAAGCTGGGAAACTAAATCATATGGATATTTTATATTGCACATTTTCATAAATTAAAATTAATCATAAAGGTTGTTATAAAAAGAAAAAGAAAGCATCAGGAAAGATCTTAGCTTGCTACGTAAAAAGAAAGAAGAAATAATTACATAAATATGACCAAAATAAAGATCATTTGCAAAAATATGACTAGTTACTAGACTAGTAATGAAATCATAGTAATTCATGTTCAAGTTTTGAACTTAAGTTACCACAACACTACGTTGTAGTAATGCACTCCATGCGAGAGTTATGGCACGACATTAAAAAAAATGTTGGGATTTTGTTTTTTATTTTAGATTTGATAACTGCACTTTATGCCAATGTTAATTGCACTACAACATTGCACTTCTTGTCATTATCACATTATTTATGGTCATATCATTGCATTTCTTATACCAATCACTGCACTTCTTGTGATATTCACGGCATTGAATACAAATTATTCACTGCACACGATCTTCAATCGTCTTCAACATAGGGTTCATCTTCAACCTTAGGTTCATCTTCAACCTAGGGTTTATAATACAATACAATAGATTATAAGTCAATACAATATAATATAATCTAAAACCCTAAACCTTAAACCCTAAACCCTAAACCTCGAAAATCAGATTTCGAGGTTGATCGGACTTAATTACATGAAAATTATTTAATTGAACAACGCTAATCAATACTAAATTCTTACTGCTCGCAGTGCGGGGTACAACGATTTAGAATGGCAGGAAGATCTATAATACGAAAAGCTTCTAACTGTGCTAATCTCTTAGCAGGTAGTAAGGTGCGAGTGAAAGTATCCTGCAACAATTTATATCTCACTTAAATTATTATGTAGAATGTGCAATTATAATCCTAGCAGAATAATAAGTTCGTATTTCAATACGCATTTGATGCATGTTGAGATAGAGTTTTGTCATTTTTCCTAATTTATTTGTGTCACAAAGTGTTTATTTAGCTCAAGTCACGGTTTACCGGGTCTGGTTTGCATTCATTGAAGAAAAGGATGAATTCAGACTTGCCATCGGCATTTGAGCTCAACTTGAGGAGATTCAAGATGTGTTCGAAAGATAGCAAGAAGCATCGGAGTTCCATGAGATGTTTTGGAGACACGATTCGAGGCTTGGAAGGTCAAAGATTGAAGATATGATCGATCGGGAGCAAACAGGGAAGAAAAGAGCATGAAAACAGTTCATGAGCCCCGCGGGTGATTCAGAGAGCTAGAAGTCTAGAAGTCTAAACTGCACGCCCCGCGGTCCAGAAGCATCCCTCAGAAGTGCCCGCACGGTTGTACCGTGCGGTTGCGCGCACGTCGGAACGGATATGTATGGTGTCCTGAATAGTATATGCAATAGCACGATATAGTATATGCAATAGCACGATATTCTGCCTGTGTAGATGATTTGGACATAGTGGGCTGCTTTTTCGACCTCCAAGAAATAAGATTAGGACCCAAGAAAACTGCAAATCCGGTGATAGAGCGAGAGCTATCTAGACAGCCAGCCCAATCAGCATCTGAATATGCCAAAATACGTAATGGCCGAGGAGAGGACTGAAGCCATAAACCATGATCAAGAGTACCCTGTATATATCTGAAAATGCGCTTCACCGCAAGCGTATGAGTAGTACGAGGAGCATGCATAAACTGAGACACTAAATGAATTGCATAAGTAATATCAGGTCTTGTCAAAGTAAAATACTTCAATGCACCTACCATGTTGGGACACTCTGAAGCATCGGCTAGGAGTTTGCCATCTATGAGAGAGAGAGTAGTGTAAGTGGCGAGCGAAGTGTGCACAGATTTTAGAGTGTGCAAGTGAAAACGGTGAAGCAGATCAGATTCATATTTTTGTTGTGAAAGGAAAAGACCTATGGTAGTGCGAATAGCCTCCACTCCCAAGAAATAATGAAGATCACCCAAATCTTTCATTGCAGTGTGGAAAACAATGACACGAATGAAGAAACTGATAAGGGAGGAGGACTTACCAGTAAGTATAATATCATCCACATATAATAATAAATAAATAACAGATGACCCTTTTCGATAAATGAACAGGGAGTTATAAGACTTGCTACACAAAAAATTATGAGAGAGGAGCAAATTGTTGAACCTGTGAAACCAGGCCCGCGGGGCCTGCTTAAGACCATAAATAGTCTTTCGCAGACGACATATATGAGAAGGAAATTGAGGATGAACAAATCCCCGCGGTTGACACATATAGACTTCCTAAGTGAGGTGACCATTAAGAAAAGCATTTTTTACATCTAACCGGCGCATGACCCACCCAAAAGAAACAACAAGTGTAAGAACAATACGAATAATGGTGGGTTTGACAACTAGACTAAAGGTCTCAGAAAAATCTATATCATCCTGCTGATTAAAACCTTGAGCAACTAAACGCGCTTTATGGCGCTCAATAGAACCATCAGAGTGAAATTTAGTTTTATAAACTCACTTAGACGCAACCACGTTTTAGAGCTGTCAAACAGGACCAAATCCCAAGTGTTATTAGTGATAAGAGCATTAAATTCATCAGCCATTGCCTCTCGCCATTTTAAATGTTTATGAGCCTCATAAAAATAAGTGGGATCTGCTGAAGTAACAACTGTTTTTGCCTCTCGCTATTTTTATTAATTTTTAATTTAATTTTTTAGAATAAAAATAAAATAAATTTTATTTTATAACTATTTATTAATTTTTTATTATTTTTCTAAGATTTTGTATTATTTTTTTATGATTTCATTATGAATTAAAACATATTATTATGAATTAATACCCTTAGGGGTATTTAGGGTAGAAAATTAATTGATGTAGTTTAATTCCAACTACGAGAGCTAATCTATGAAAGCAGATGAATTTAGGCAGCGTAAGACATTATTACTACTAAGGAGGCGGATCTTTTTTAGGATACGTACATGAAGTATTTATAGAACCAGAGTTACAATAGACCCCCTTAGGGTCCACGTCTCTTTCATTAGTTTCATGCCGCTGGCAGATAGCTATGCTCAACAGATGGCCTGTCACGTAAGTCCTGGGATAAGTCCGATCTCGCTAGAATCCCGCCTAGGCTCGAGGTCTGCTATCTAGATCCGGTGATCTGGTTGTGGGTTCCTCTCGCTGGTCGAGTTCTTTGTTAGGCCCAATAGCTATTATTAATTAATCCCAATCAATGGGATTGGTATGTTGTTCC